ATATATATATTAATTTTTTTCGTCAATTTTTTTTGTTAAATAAAATTGTTTTGCATTTTTGGAGCCTATGGTGTGCCAACTTTTGTTTGTTTTTTATTGTTTTCTTAGTCGAGCACCCATTTTTTAGCATTTTTTTGCCGTTGATGTGCATGCTTTGGTTCCGTCTTTGCTTATTTTTAATTTGTTAAATTTAATTTTAATATGATTTATCATTTATGGAATCATGTACAATCAAATGTCGAGTGTAACTTTTAAAGGGTTTATTTTGTGATAATTTAGTGTACATTATCTGCTCATTTCATGACAACTTACCAGATATAGAGTATATGTATTTATTCATTTATATACATTTTAATAATACTTATAATTAACAGTAGTTTTGGGTTATATTCAATATTCACAATGATTTTATTGTGAAAAAAACGAAACATGAATTTCACAGTTACTTTCATGCGCTTTTTATTAAGTTATTACATTAGAAGTAGTTTTGCAATTAGACTTGTTCAATTCGCTTCCGTAAATCAGTTCAAACTGTTTGCTTCAAAGAATCGATTCAAAACTCTGATTTAAAAATTAAATCTCAGATATGTGCATGAAATGCATGGCATTTCTCGTATATGAATTACGATATTCATATTTTACCTTATAGATTTAACATTTTGAATTAATTAGCTGAAGTGACCCACAAATTGTTGGATACCTGTTTCTATCAACACAACGAGATAAAGTACTCATTAAATATTTCAAAACAACTCCAAACACAAAACTAGATGTTGAATTATAGATGATTATTATAGATGCTTAATTTTAATCAACAATTCTGTCTACACTTAAGCGCCCATGAAGAACTGCAATGTGACGCAAAATCAGTTGTCGAATACCTTAGTATATCATACATAGGCATATCATACTAATTTATTTTCTCAGAACTTATTTACAAACATAATATGTATGAATTAATTACACTGAATTTTATGAATTACATATGAAGTGTTACACCAAAGCTCTTGATGGCATAGGGTTATATAGGTAACGAAAGCTAAAAATAAAATTGAAACCATTAAAAAATTATTTGTGACTTGAAATGAAAACAAAATTATCTGAATTAAATAAAATATATATAAAACAATATTTCACCTACTTTCAGCAAGTTGTTTAATTATTTTAATTTAGTTCAAATAAAATAAAAGTTAAAATGTAATTTATTTTTTAAATAAAAAATGAAAAATATATAAAAAATAATAATTTTGTTGTGTTTTTTTTCCATTTTGAGTTAGTTTGTATATTTGTCTATACAGTTTTTTATTTTAACTTTTTATTTAAAATGTAATTTTTCATTTTAAATAAAAAGTTAAAATAAAAATGAATAAAAACTGTATAGACAAATATAAGAAACTAACTAAAAATGACAATAACAACAAAATTACTAAAACATTAATTCTTTCATTTCTATTTGTTAATGTTACTTTTTTTTAAACAATTTATTTAAAATAAAAATTGTAAAATTAAAACTGATTTAAACTATTAATAAAAACCATAAGAGTATCTCAAAGATGTTAAAATAACACTGATAAAGACTGTCTTAAATGACACTTAAATGATGGAAGTTAAAACATGTTCTCAAAACTATAAGACTCAAAAACAGAGCATGATGTGCTGTGCTTCTTTGTGAGGAACTGATGTAGTAAACTAGTTAGTTATGTCCTCGTTCTGCTTAGTTTCTCCCAGTTGAGCAGCAGGTCCAAAAGCACCATTTCAGCTCATATGGACTCTAATGTCACGCTTTGCAGTTAAATAAGCCTCAAAAAGGGTGCCGAGGCACTCGTAGAGGACGGTGGGGTCTCACCTGCTGATTTAGGGGTGAATTTGTCCCTGTTTGCAGCACAAACGGCCAGCAGCCGATACCCCAGATCCATGTCAAAACCCTGCTGACCTGCGACACGACTCGCCACCTGACACACAGACACACAAATAATATTCAAACACCACTGAAATCTCAGCATTCATGCATGCATACATGCTTTGTCATAGTTACATTTCACTGAGTGGTTGTGGTTTTGGGGTTTCTGGGAATAAAATCTCTGCAAACCCTCGTCAGGTCGGCCCACGTTAAACAGCACCACACCCTGAGGCCTGAAGCACAGACGTTCATATCTGCGTCTTAATTACAGTTTAACACACATCATGTGTGTCTAAAGCGCCTAATTAAACATCTGAGCGAGGTTTGGTTTAGCCCTCATTCCACATTCTCCTTAAATGCAGCTCAGGTCTGCACGCGAGAGCAAGGAGTTTCTGCTCTTTCTCTGCTGTAGAAACGTAAAATACAACTGAACTGAACAGAATAAATGAAAGCAGAAAAGTAGAATTAAACAGATTACAATATAACAGAGCAGAACCATTTTTTAAAAATTAATAGAAAAAAATTGTAGCACAGAGAGCAGAATAAAATTAAATGAATAGAATAAATGTGATGCAGAATAGAAGAGAAAAAATAATAAATTAAAGCACAATAGTAGACAGCAGAACAGAATGAGATAAAATACAATAAATTAAAGCACAATAGAACAGAAGAGTAGAATTCAAAAACAAATTCGAGCAGAACAGAAGAGAAGAGAATAAAATGGTATAGATTAAAGCACAATATGTATAGAATAAATTAGAACAGAATCAATACAAGCACAATGGAATAGAAGAGTACAATAGAAATGATTTCAATAAAAAAAAAAGAATACACTGAAGTAGAATAAAAGAAAAAAAATTGTATAGATTAAAGCACAATAGAACAGAGCAGAACAGAATAAAAAAATAATAAAATGAATAAAATTTTAATATAGTATAATAAACCTGTAAAAATATAATATAATATAGAATATGTGAGTGGAAACAGATGGCAATATTTAAGGTAATTATTTGAGTCGGTGCGGCCGATTGTTCTCATTACTAACAGCAGATGAATGCTGACTGCTGATTGGTTAAGGGACTGAAACGGATTGATTTGACCTCACCGTTAGGCATCCCATCAGGCTTTGCTCAAAGGGCCGCTGAAACGCTCGTGGATCTCCACACCAGTCCAACAGCTCTGTCGCCGCCGTCTGGAAGTTTGCTGGATTCTGCAGGTGCTGAGAAAAGAAAATCACACGCAAACATAAACATAAAGTTCATATGATGAACCACTTCATTTATACTCTCATGACGTATTTAGTTTATGTGAGTTTATGGATTTGAGGTTTGAATGTGTGAAAGGCCCTAACGAAAAGGCCCTAATCTACAATCAGTCTAATAGTTGTGTGAAGTGTTCAGGTGTCCTGTAGGGGGCGTCACAGCTTATAAATCCATTAAAACATTCAGGAGACAGTGGCAACATTATTTAACTGGAGACTGGTTGTCTCGGGTCTGTAGAGATGTTTCTCTCACCTGTTTGATGCAGTGGAGGCGGTCGCTGGTTTGCTGGATGTGTCTGTCCATAGACGGGAGAGAATTCATCCTGCAGGAGCGTCTCTGACCCTATCGCCTGGCCATCCAACACTCAGACCCTATAAAACACACAGCATTTAGACACACTGCCAGATTCAGTGATCGGATGCACCATTTTCACCTGCTGGACCATAAAACAGAAATTGCTTAGACACACAGAAATCAGAAGATCACAGAGACACTTTTCATGCCAGACAGGAAGAAAGCACCTAGCAACCAACTAGGTCAGCCTAAGCGACCACCTCACAACAACCACAATTTCTTGAAATATTTGTATAAAAAATAGTGATGCACTGAAAAGATTTTTTACTGAAACACCGAAACCAAAACAAAAGATTTCATTTAGACAAAAACCCAAATTGAAAACAAATATTTTTTAATAATCAATTCATTAATTAGATGTATTTACTAATCAACACTCAAATAAAAACTGAGTGGTATACAAACATTTAAATTGCATATAACAACATTTAAACGGTGGGCGTAATAAAAACTTGTTTACATGACAGATTTATTCACACATACATTAAACAATGAAGACAACAGGTCAAGCAAAATCAGTAATTATAGTTAACTAAAATTACAGCCATAAAAATTGTTACTTGAAATAAACGGGAAATTTAATTTTATATATATATATAAACCTTACTTATTTAATTTAATTTTTTATTATTATTCTAATTTAAATTTCATTTAACTTGAAGTAATAACATAACTAAAATTAAATAAATAAAAACTATATAGACATTCAAAAAATCAGAAAATTATAAAAATGACAAAAACACAAAACAGCATTACTAAAATTAAAGTGAAATAAAAAAATATCTAATGCAAAGTATCAACAATAACTACAATAGTGTATCAATCATTAAAATAAATGTAAAAATATAATAAATATGTAATATATTAATAACAGTATTTAGCAAAATGTTCCTCTCTAGAGATGTAATTTCTCCTGTTGTACTTTAGTTTGCATGTTATCTTAATATAAATAAAGAAGTACATAAATGCATAAATAAATGTGTGTTTGTTTGAGCAGGAAGCATTTCTGCTGATCTGAAATCAGGTCAGAATATGAGAGCCAATTCCATAATCACATGATATTACAGCAGGGCGTCCCGTTTACATCATCCGTCTCAGACGCTGAGTGATATTTATAGTGTAAATGAACAGTATATGTGCCACTGCAGACAGCCAGACTGGAGCATCCCAGAATGCACCAGCAGGAGTTTGGCAAACATGCGGGATCAGACTGCGGGCTGCAGCACACACACACACTAAAACATCCCTGGAATAGACTAAAGGATGATGGGAAACATGTCGAGAAGCAGAGGGAGTGTTTCCTGCTGTTCAGTGAACGTCAGTAACTCTCCACAATCACACGACTCTCGTTAGTTTGTATTACATCACTGCGTAACAAGATGACACGTCAGACGGGACGCACACTAAAGCTCCAGACGTCTGAGTGAACACACATGCGGGATTAAAGGTCACATATTATATATCTTTCTGGAGTTTTATTTTAGGTTTTGATGACCTTAAGAATATATATTTGTGGTATATGTACCAAAAACCATCAAAATTTTTACAGCTCCTTTCTCAGAAGCTGTGCTTTGAACAGGTCGATTTTGGCCTGTCTAATTAATATTCATGAGCCTCTCTTCTGATTTGCCTGTTGTTTTCTGAGTGACGCACGGCCAGGCCAACCACAGGTAACTAGGGTCATGTCTGCTGTAGCCTGCTATGGCAAATAGAAAAATCAAAACACCTGTAAATAGAAACACCTGTAATGATGGCCACTGCTGAGGGAAATGTTTTCCGGCCTTACATGTTTGAGCCGGACTCAGACCCCGAATAGGCGACGACAGGCGACAACCAACCACCTCGTCAAATGCACTTACAACAGGATGTTTCAGAATGGTAATACATTTTTTTTTTCAAAAACCGAATGCAGTAATCTACGTAACTATTGCTTTCCTACTGATACAACACGTCAGCATCAAGTTAGCAACACGTTAGCATCATGTTAGCGTTGCATAACCATTTACATATATAATTTCAGATTATGCTGGCTCCATAATGTAACATAAAATGTGTGAGAAGTTTACTTACGGGTTGCGGACATTACATATTGCCTGTTATATGTTTGCCACATAATTTTGTTTATGTGGCAAAATTTCACTTGATCGCGATGCCGGCTCAACATCGTGAAGTCTATCAGCCATCGGCGATGGACGATGGCATCGTCTATCTGCCCAACCCTAGTTCGGAAGCCTGTGCAATGATGTAGTTTCCTGACATCCATCGACTGATCAGCGTTTTCTTGACATGTTTCCGTGTTGTTGTTGCTCAGCAATGGCATGGGCGCGCTGTTGTCTGGGCGTTTGGCAAAAGGAGGGTGGGACGATGAGCAGTGCTCGGGGTGGTGACTGAAGGCGGTGACTGTGTAGTTCTGACGCCACCTTTTTAAGGAAGTCACAATGGCTTGTGAAAAGGCACAACTACTTTATGCAGGCTGCATTTGTCTGTGGATTTTGAAACTTATATGGTAGTTACATAGCCTTCAGATATCAGTTATAATGAAAAAAGCCAGGAAATTTCCGTTTTGACAATATGGGACCAAAACAAAAGATTTCATTTAGACAAAAACCCAAATTGAAAACAAATATTTTTTAATAATCAATTCATTAATTAGATGTATTTACTAATCAACACTCAAATAAAAACTGAGTGGTATACAAACATTTAAATTGCATATAACAACATTTAAACGGTGGGCGTAATAAAAACTTGTTTACATGACAGATTTATTCACACATACATTAAACAATGAAGACAACAGGTCAAGCAAAATCAGTAATTATAGTTAACTAAAATTACAGCCATAAAAATTGTTACTTGAAATAAACGGGAAATTTAATTTTATATATATATATAAACCTTACTTATTTAATTTAATTTTTTATTATTATTCTAATTTAAATTTCATTTAACTTGAAGTAATAACATAACTAAAATTAAATAAATAAAAACTATATAGACATTCAAAAAATCAGAAAATTATAAAAATGACAAAAACACAAAACAGCATTACTAAAATTAAAGTGAAATAAAAAAATATCTAATGCAAAGTATCAACAATAACTACAATAGTGTATCAATCATTAAAATAAATGTAAAAATATAATAAATATGTAATATATTAATAACAGTATTTAGCAAAATGTTCCTCTCTAGAGATGTAATTTCTCCTGTTGTACTTTAGTTTGCATGTTATCTTAATATAAATAAAGAAGTACATAAATGCATAAATAAATGTGTGTTTGTTTGAGCAGGAAGCATTTCTGCTGATCTGAAATCAGGTCAGAATATGAGAGCCAATTCCATAATCACATGATATTACAGCAGGGCGTCCCGTTTACATCATCCGTCTCAGACGCTGAGTGATATTTATAGTGTAAATGAACAGTATATGTGCCACTGCAGACAGCCAGACTGGAGCATCCCAGAATGCACCAGCAGGAGTTTGGCAAACATGCGGGATCAGACTGCGGGCTGCAGCACACACACACACTAAAACATCCCTGGAATAGACTAAAGGATGATGGGAAACATGTCGAGAAGCAGAGGGAGTGTTTCCTGCTGTTCAGTGAACGTCAGTAACTCTCCACAATCACACGACTCTCGTTAGTTTGTATTACATCACTGCGTAACAAGATGACACGTCAGACGGGACGCACACTAAAGCTCCAGACGTCTGAGTGAACACACATGCGGGATTAAAGGTCACATATTATATATCTTTCTGGAGTTTTATTTTAGGTTTTGATGACCTTAAGAATATATATTTGTGGTATATGTACCAAAAACCATCAAAATTTTTACAGCTCCTTTCTCAGAAGCTGTGCTTTGAACAGGTCGATTTTGGCCTGTCTAATTAATATTCATGAGCCTCTCTTCTGATTTGCCTGTTGTTTTCTGAGTGACGCACGGCCAGGCCAACCACAGGTAACTAGGGTCATGTCTGCTGTAGCCTGCTATGGCAAATAGAAAAATCAAAACACCTGTAAATAGAAACACCTGTAATGATGGCCACTGCTGAGGGAAATGTTTTCCGGCCTTACATGTTTGAGCCGGACTCAGACCCCGAATAGGCGACGACAGGCGACAACCAACCACCTCGTCAAATGCACTTACAACAGGATGTTTCAGAATGGTAATACATTTTTTTTTTCAAAAACCGAATGCAGTAATCTACGTAACTATTGCTTTCCTACTGATACAACACGTCAGCATCAAGTTAGCAACACGTTAGCATCATGTTAGCGTTGCATAACCATTTACATATATAATTTCAGATTATGCTGGCTCCATAATGTAACATAAAATGTGTGAGAAGTTTACTTACGGGTTGCGGACATTACATATTGCCTGTTATATGTTTGCCACATAATTTTGTTTATGTGGCAAAATTTCACTTGATCGCGATGCCGGCTCAACATCGTGAAGTCTATCAGCCATCGGCGATGGACGATGGCATCGTCTATCTGCCCAACCCTAGTTCGGAAGCCTGTGCAATGATGTAGTTTCCTGACATCCATCGACTGATCAGCGTTTTCTTGACATGTTTCCGTGTTGTTGTTGCTCAGCAATGGCATGGGCGCGCTGTTGTCTGGGCGTTTGGCAAAAGGAGGGTGGGACGATGAGCAGTGCTCGGGGTGGTGACTGAAGGCGGTGACTGTGTAGTTCTGACGCCACCTTTTTAAGGAAGTCACAATGGCTTGTGAAAAGGCACAACTACTTTATGCAGGCTGCATTTGTCTGTGGATTTTGAAACTTATATGGTAGTTACATAGCCTTCAGATATCAGTTATAATGAAAAAAGCCAGGAAATTTCCGTTTTGACAATATGGGACGTTTACAATCATCACATTCAACCAGAAAGAGTCACTGACAGTAAAACATGAAACTAAAAAACACGGCTAAAAATATAAAGATGACAAATAGAGATAACAAATAAACCTCTGTATATGGATTTCTGCAGAACTAAAAAATACAT